ATATTTGATAAGATAGTAAAGAAAAATGAATGTTATTAAATATAATAAAAAGTGATTAAATATATAATTAAAAGAGATTAAAGATGAATTGAAATTAAAAAGATATTCAAACTTGACTAGTCTATCTAAATCATAAAAGAATATTCTTAGTTAAGGCTCTTCAAATTAGATGCTCTAATTATATTAGAATCTTATTAATCTATTTCCCTATGGAATATTGATTATTAATCAACAATAATCAATCAATTACATTAATAATAAATGTGAAAAGATATTAGAATGCTAAGGGAGTGAATAAGTATTGGAAAAAGTGAAAATTTGTGTCAATAGTGCAAAAATGCAAGAAAATGTAAGTGAAACATCAAACAGATAATAAAGGAAGCAACATCATTATCATTTCCTTCAATAAATAGTAAGAAAGTTATAATTAGCTAATACGCCAGTTGATATTTTAGACATTATATTATCTCCTTAGAAATACTTTGGAATTCTAGGACAAAAGGAAATGTAAATTTACAAAGACTTTTAATCATCATTTCATTAGCAGATATTTATATATGAATGGATACTCAAATCAGAACTATTATCGAGTAATTCTTAAAAGAGATTGAAATTAATAATTATACCAACTTTTATGACTAATCAATAATAAGAATACATTTCAGCTTCTTCATAAATTCGGTCTTCAAGCAAAAGTCACATTTCAAATTCCAATAATGATAAAGAAAATCCTGTTTTGCTCATTATAATTAAAAATGTAACTCATAAATATAAATGTAAATAAATGAGGGATGAATCAATTATCAATCATAGTTTAATTAAATCATTTTCGCATGAATTAAGAACTCCTTTGAATAGTTGCAATCAAATGCTGAATATCATGAAATTAGAGTAACCATCAAAAGAAATTTAAGATTATATTAATATAGCATAGTGTTCAATTGCATTATTAATTCATCAAATTAATGATATTTTGGATTACGCTGCTTTCCAATCTTATTAATTTCATTACAATATTGGAAATTTTACAATAAATTAAATTATAGAGGAAATCGACCACTTATATAAATTATAGGCTTAATAAAAAAATATTAACTTTAAAATCAAAATCTCAAATTGTTTAGATGAAAGGAATTTTCGCAATGATAAGCAAAGAATTGTATAGTTATTGGTGAATTTTTTAAATAACTCAATCAAGTACACCCATGAAGGAGGTAGAATTAATTTAAATATCAAGGATGTTTCTCCATAATATATTAATTTTAAAGTGAAAGATAATGGAATTGGAATTGACGATCATAAACTCAACTAAATTTAAAACAGTTTACTTGATACAAAAGAATTTGGGGCTGTATTGAAATCCCATACCTCAAGTAAACAAGCAGGTTTAGGTTTAGTCATTGCAGCAAGACTGATTGAGGGTTTAACCGAATCTAAGGATAATAAATTAATTATCACTTCAAAAAAAAATAAAGGGACAACAGTTGAATTTCAAATTGAAGACTTGTAATAAGAAAAGAATATCTTATCTTCTCATTTACCAAATCAATAAAGTGAAAAGCTATCCCGTCTGGCAAATCAATAGAGCGAAAAGATAACCCATTAGGCCAATCAATCTGAATCTAACATTTAAACTCAACATTAACAAAAAATTGTAATATTGAATAGCAAAAATTAGAAACTTGAAAATGATAAGGATTTCCAAGAAGTAAAATCTGAATCTTTTATGACTTTAAGACTCAATGATTCTGAAAAATAAAATTAAATTTTACTACCCATAAGTCCAGACTATTTTTCAAAAAAGAATCTGGAATATTATAATAATCTATAAAATTAATTTCAATCTGATTTCTCTTAAAATGAAGATATACTTTGTTAAAATTGTGTTCACATTCTCATTGTAGATGATATACCTTTTAATTAAATAGCCTTAAAAATGATTCTTAACAAATATAAAATTCAAGTTGATTAAGCATTTGATGGATTTCAAGCAGTTGAAAAAGTCAAACAAAAGATGTTCAAACATTGTTCAGCCTATAAATTAATTTTTATGGACATCGAAATGCCAGGGATGGATGGTTTTCAAACAAGTAAATATGTAACTAATTAATCTAATATGCAGATCCTTGAATTGACTTCTAATCAAGCCTTTATTGTGATATGTTCGGCATATGATACCTAAGAAAATATTCTTTAAGGAAAGATTATTGGAATTAATACTTTTATCCAGAAGCCTGTTAAATAAGAATAACTGAATGTAGTACTTAAAACAGTCTTTAAAATTGAGACTAATTCCAATTTTCTTTGATAATCACCAAAGTTTGTGATGAATAAAATTATTGTTTTGATCAATAATAATAAATTATTACTATAATATAACGCTTAAGTGTATAAATTTTATAAAAAATAAAGCATTCAACTTATTTACTGATCATTTTTTAAATTCCATATGATGGAAATCAAAATTGATATTTTTTAAATTTAATTTCATCAAACAGATTCAAAAATTAATCTTTAGTTTTAAAATGCTTAATTCCGAAAATATAGTTATCCTATTGATAATAAGTAAACAAAATATCGATTCAGGATAATTGTTCTATGGTCTTAAAAAATTTGAAAGAACGACCAGGTCAACATCAAGATTTAATGATTTATTATAATTTTAATAAAAATATCAATAGATGTATAAGGTTAAAATATTATTCAAAATAATACAATTGAAAAATTTGTATCTCTTGATTACAATTAATTTCCATTTTTATTATGTGTTTTTTTTGTCTCATTTCTTGTTTCTTTTTACTCAGACTATTATTCATTATGTTAATTGCTGTTATTTTTACTTTTCTTTTATATTCGATTCCATAAAATTTAAAAAAAATGGAAAATTTATAGAATTAATCCAAAGGCTAGAATACAAAATTCAATGACAATTGCAACTAAGACTAAAGCTATAACCATCCAGCCTAAAATAATTTTGTTTTGCTCTATAAATTCAACTTGTATTTGATCATTCATAGCAAATGAGATAATAATTAATATAATGGAGCTTAAACAAAAGTTGGATAATAATTTTATCACATATTCCTTCTTTGAATTATATGGATTTTAATATAATAAGAAAATAAAACATAAAGAGGAGGATAGATAACACAAAGTTACTTACAAAAGTGGAGTGTAGTAGTAAAATACCATGAAAAATATGTACAGGATTTTGCTTATTTATCCAAAAAATGAATAATAATATCCGAATGAATTTTCAAGGTTTATGTTTTCATAGTAAATTCCAAATTTTTCCTCAAAATGTTTATTTTTCGCTTTTAACTAATGAATATTCAAAATTTAATATTATTAATAACATTAAAATATGATTATGCCAATTGTCATTATCGCAAGGAATTGATTTGAATCCACTATGATATGCGAATTATTCTTCGAACAAAATAACTAAAGGAAAATTGCTAATGTAATATCCAATAGGCATAAAGAAATCGTTGATTTACACTAATTTACGAGATTAGTTGAATTTGATTTAAAAAAGTCAGTAATAGATTTCAAATATTTATTTTGGACTATCATTTATTCATGTTCTTTGATTGCATTTTAATGAGGTTATTTTTTTATTTGAACATTAAAAATACTTATATGCTTGTCTTTTAATGATATTTTGAGTTTCAATGCATCATCAAGTAAAGAAAAGAATGAATAAAACAAATAGTTTATTAGAAAAATGAGGATGGAGGAAAGTATAAACATAAATGGGATTTAAATGTTATTAAAGAATAATGGGTCTATTCCTTTATTCATGAATCTTTTTGGAGCCTCAAAGTAATAACTACACCCGGGTTGATTCAATTCCTAAAAAGTTGGAAAATTAATGAAGCTTGACCAATTGCTATTTAAAAAAAATAGTTCCACATTGAAAGGATAATTAACGTTAAGAAAATAGAAATTATTGATCCAACTTAATATCTCTAGGACTGCCCATAAATAATTAAAGAGGTTGAAAATGATAGATACTGGGATCATAATTAAAAAAAATAAATTAAAAGACTATTGAGCACTTTATATGTATTCCTATTACTTTTTATCATTCTAATTTAAAATAATGAATTCTCTTGGTGTGATGTCATATTTAACACTTTTATCATTTTTTTCAACAAGCAGTCTTTTCATTGAATTTGTAAACTATAACAATGCATGAATTGTATTGTATTAATAGATGGATTTCTTGAAATCAAATTGTAGTTTACATGTTAAATCATCGACTTAAGTGCAATTGTAGTTATAATCTGTGATTTCCATGTTGTCAATGGTGATTTTGGCAGAATTGCATAAAATTTACAGCTAGTATTGAGAAACAAGTTTCAAATCATAGGTATTATTCGCTAATTCTTAATAAAACTTCATTTGATTGAATTCATTATCTGAAAACTGCTAAATTACATTAAGAATGCGCAAGCCATCTCCATTATTTTGATTCTGATCATCAACACTACTCATAAAACTCAACTAGTAATTCCATCACCGCAAATAGAATCGCATTTCTTAGTTTTTTTATTTGCAAAAAGACCAGGGGTTGTTTCACAGAAATCACAATCACCTCTATAACAGGACGTACATAAATTAGATTGTTATTAGCAAGTGATACAATTTGAATCGCATAATTGACATTTCCCATCCACAGGAAAGTAACCATCAACGCATGATTTACAAATCAAATTGATCTTATCTAAACTTAGACATTAAGAACATTCTATTTCACATGTCTAACAGGTTGAAAAGTCTTTTTTCCCACAAACATAACCATCCTATATTTTGCAATCCCTACATCCATCCCCAGCTTATACATCGCATTCTTCCTCTATTAGATTCAGTAAACCATCTCCACATACTGAAATGCAAATATCACCATCTAATAGAAATCCATCCATGCATTTTAAACATTTCCCAAATTAGCAGTAAGCGCAGCGATTATTTTTAATTTCAAATTCTTTATCACATTTATCATATTATATCAATTCACATTGATAGCAACCATCATAGATGTCTGAATTACCGTCATCGCACTTCTCATTACCTTATTAAATAGAATCTCCACAGAAAGTCTCACATATATTGTTAATTGTGTTTAAATAGTACCCATAATTACATTGCAGACAAAGATTGCTTATACATATATTACATTGAAATATACAAGGTAATTAAATAACATCCTAATTATAGGTTAATTTATATTCCACACTATCTCCCTTGAGTTATAAATCCTTTTATTTAGTATATTTTAGTATGCAGTAACCATATACACAATTATCACAATCTTCCTCACATTAGTATCTACAATTAAAACACCCATCAAATGGATCATTATTACCATCATCACATTCCTCGTCTCCAACAATTATTTTATCACCACAAATTGAAATACAAGGATTTCTACCAGTCTCATAATTAAAACTATCAAAATTATATTCAGGTTCGCAATCAAAATGTCCAACTACAACCATATTCTAAATTCCACAAAAGCCAAGATTATTATCGTTTGAGCATTCAATCTCCATAGTTAATTACTTATTAGTTGATATTATGTACTTTAAGGTTTTATCCACCTTATATATATTGAATTTATAATCGTTTGGCCATATTTGATCTTCAATGTTTCGATTACTTCCTGAATAATTTTAATTTAAAGTTATTTTTTCCAATTATTGATCATTTAATTTATATGTAAGTTTAGCAGAACTTAATTTAATATCCCCTAAAATAACTTCAAAAAATATTCTAATAAATTGGAACTCTTAGGTCCAACTTTAAGTAAATTTAAATTTAGCATTAACCCAAACCAAAGGTCCACCAAATATCCTTTTACTTGCAAAGTAACTATAATAAATATCAAAACCTTTTTTGAAACTATTATCATTATTTGATAATATAACTGAAAAATGCTCATTAGTAGTCACTTTTGTGGTTGATAGATCGTGAAATTCTTTGAATAATTGTGTAATCCTTAAATTTTTCATCTTTAAAATACTCTCGATGCTGCTTAAACAATTATCCCCTTATACTCTAGTGTATTCTGGGCATTGATCCATGCATTACCCGAAGTAGAGATATTTTTAGGGTTTGCAAACTAAACAACTTTGTGTATTAGTACATTTTTTGCAATCAATTTCGCATTTTTCTTGAGGTACTAATACATACTATGAATTATTACTTATTTATTCAATACATACATTATCTTCATCATAATCTTAATTGTTAGCACATTGAGATAGACATCCATCTGGAATTTAAAGGAAATTTTAACCATTCTAACCCTTACAAGAATCGCAAGTGTTACTAGCACTCATAACTATATTGCTATAACAACTTAAACACTATTGCTTACCATCACCTGAACAAGTCTTACAGGTTTTGTAACATCTATATAAAATCAGTTAAACATTTCTAAATAAGTAGGATTCGTCTGTTAAAGTTTAATTAGCTGTACTCTGTATTTAAAGGTTCACTTATTCTTGAGTATGGCTAAGTTCTGTAAAGATGGATTAACGAATTATCTTTCCACTATAATTATTACACTAATTTAATTTTTAACCATAACTATATGGATTTAGATGAGTAGATTTAGTATAAATATTGTCTAATATACTCACCTTAATATCCTCATTACCATCTATAGTATGATAACCATAAACATCAATATACAATTAGACCTTATAGTGTGGTAATTTAGTGTCAATTTGATTCTCAATTATACTACACATTTAACATTTTCCTTATACCACCATTAAATCCATTCCCTTATTGCAAGTAAATGCTTGAGGAAGGCTTGTATTGTCAATACATTTCCAATTTGTATTTGTTAAATTAATCGTTTTAGTATTAAATTCCTCATAAATAGAGTGTTAAAAACAATTTGCACTATTCAGTAATAAAAACAGAGTTAGATGAAAAATTGGCCTATTCATAGATTATTAGAAATGCATAAAAAGATATTAAAATTTATGCTTAAAAATTGAATATGTGTTAATTTTTATCAATATAATTTTAAATATAAATGCTCCATCTACTAAAAAATTAAAAAAGTGAGATTTTTATTAATGTTAATTAATGGCCTTTTCATATAATTAAGAATATTGTAAGAGAAGACATATTTCTAATAATTTGTGTTAATTATTTAAATGATTATCAATAATACATTTACATTTACAAGTTCATAGCAAATTTATTATTATATTAATTTAAATAATTAAATAACTAGTTACAGAGAACTAATTTTTTAGGGTTTATATTTGATATACTTTAATGATTTTTCAATATCCTAACAATCATTAATAGTTTATATCATATAACCAAACTTATAAAAGACCCATTCCTTAATGTAA